GTGGCATGTCATATAGTTTCTGAGTAAAATTGCCGGTCAACAAAGGGTTAAAGTGCAAAAATTTAAATTTTTTCGAATTTTTTTTTTCATTGTTACTAAAATTATCACTTAGGAAATTTATCAAAAGAACACACTTGGATAAAATTAATACTTTTATTAAAAATTTTAAATATTCATTTCTTAAACAAGCGTGTTTCCAAACCTAGTCGACGAATTAATGGTAAAATTTAGCATTAATTAGTAGTTATTATTTGTTTTACTGGTCAGTTCAGTTTCACATCAATTTAGTTATATTCAAAGTATTTTAATCGATATCATGCTATGTAAAATAAATATTCTGCGTTATTATAACGTTTTACTCGGAAAATGCATAAAAACACTAAAAACTCTATTTCTTTTTTGAAACAGGAATTTCAAGTGAAACTCAAAACAACCCTAAATTATTGCGAAAATATTGCGAATAAAAAATTTTTCCGAATTTTACTAATAATTACGTAGTAAATTTCTTCACTAAATTTTGTATAAAAAGTATTATAAAATAAAAGTATTATTTATTAATTCTGAGTTAATAAGTAAAAAAATAAAATGTCATGAAGTGTTATTTAGTTTAGTTTGAAAAGAATATATATATTGTTTGCAAGTGTCCTTTGTTTTTTAATATCTTTTTACAACTTGTTTGCTATTTTGATAATTTCTCAATGTTTAATAAGTAAATAGTGAGCGAAACGGCCCAGGCAAGAGAACATGTTGCGCCCTTAAATATATTAAGGAGCATTTTAGAATATGGGGCCCTGACCAAGTGCCCCCTTCGTCCATGTAAACAATCCAACAGTGATACAGAATGAATTCTAACTCTTTCGTAACAGCAGCGTATTCAAACAACAGTGAAACGTAACCTTCATAAATATAAGCACGTGATTGTGTTATAGTTACGTAATGGAGAAGTGTTTGCAATCACGAAGTCTTTGTTAAAAACATCCTTTTATAGATGATTGTATCTCTTAGCTCACACCTCCAACATTATTTTTATTATCAGGTCTTACGAAAGTAAAAATAGCGTGATAAGAAAAAAGAACTGTAATCCTGATTATTATTATGAAAAGACACGCTGTTAGTAGTTTATTTTTCTTGTCATTTTAAACATCTTGGAGATTGGTTAGTTTATTTTACTATGCATGTCACAAAAAAAATGATCATATTTTCAACTAGTTTTGAAATTATATTGAAATAGGTTGACAAAGATATAGAAAGCTATCATTTAGAATATTTTTATCAGTGCTCTTTTTTTTTTCGATGACATCTCAACGTTTAAACTTAATATTGATTTCTTGGATCCTGATGAGAATTGTACTATGTTTTTTTTTAATGTTAATCCCTGAAAAATTGCGTCATCAAACTTAAGCATAACCTGTTTCAACTTGTACGGTATTAAGGTTGCAGAAAATTTGACTATATTGTGGTTCAACCTGTAACAACATTTCAAATAATGCCTTTTTTTTAATCGTAAATATTTCGAAGCTTATTTGTTATCGATTTTGTCTTGCAGAGCACTTGAAAAATATTTATGGTTTAAACAAACGCTTAATGAAGTTTGAAAACAATATTAAGGAATCCGACTAATTCTTTTATTCAGATAAAATAAATCGTTTTGGTAATTTTTGACATTTCTTAAACATTTGACATTTCTTTGACATTTTCAGAAAAATGTTGAATTTGGAGAAATCTCTTTGCTCTAACACACATTATGTTCCTACCAGCCATAAACACAGTAGATTTTATCATATTCTACTGAATTTAACCATGTTTTTTTTCTCGGTGTGAAACCCACTCACGGAAAACAGAAAACATCCATTTTTTTCACTAAAATAACTTTTTTTCTTCTAAAAATAAAAAAAGGAAGCTTTTTTTTAGATTAATTTTCCAGTGTTTTTGAGCTATGACACTAAAAATAGTAAATATGATTGCCAGTTAAAAGTTGTTTCACGTCATTAACATGATATTAATGACTTTAAACGTGCGAGCAAGACATCTGGGTATATCTTTTTTTCTTCAAATTTTAGCTCTCAATAAAATCGAACTATAAAGATCTTAGAACTATTTTAGAAAAATGCTTTAATTCAAAATAAGGTAAGTGCTTAATTTAAATTGCAGTGAAAAATTCAGTGTTTAAAGTTAAATTTTAGATAAGTTATAGGAAATCGAAAAAGTTGTGAGTTGATGCTTCCGCAAAAAAAAAAAAAAAAAAAAAAAAAAAAAAAAAAAAAAAAAAAAAAAAAAAAAAAAAAAAAAAAAAAAAAAAAAAAAAAAAAAAAAAAA